AAAAGAAAAAAGAAAAAAAAACTTTATTAAAGCTTCATATCTGTTATTAAGAGTGTCTCGTTTTCAACAAGAAAAGGTCTATTTGCAAGAAAGTCGTACATGTTTATCTTTTTTCCAAGATGGCAGCCACGAAACTCAATTGAATTTAGCGCGCGGTCGTTGATGGGATTGATTCTTTTTACGACAAGAAATTCATGGTTTTTGTGCCTAGTCAAGATACTTGCACTCAAAAATTTTTTTTACTGATATGCCCTAAAATTTACTGCGATAAACATAGACACAATATGGTTGCTTTGAAGACTCCTGCCAACAGGATGTTATGATATCGTATTTTAACGGTAATTAGTACCGTTTTTATTTGTGCTTTACACTTTAATTAAGTTCACTTCCAGATGGAACTTACTAGTTTTTTTTTAAAAAAATGGACGACTAAAATGCCAAATTTTCCTTTTTCCTTTTTCCTTTTTTGTTGGGCTACCAGCGGATTTGGCGGAAATTTTCGCGCCAAAACTTGTGTGCTCGCCCCTCTGGCATACTCTCGCTTCGCCACTGCCTATCGCATACAAAATAAATAGACAGAAAAACTGATTTGCCGACTGTACGAGTTTTTTTCCAGCATTGTACGGTCTGTGTTTCATACGCATGATAAATAGTACTGAACCAATCATGGTGTAATATATAGTAGTATTACGGGGTGACTTGCTGGTAGAGTCTTTATTTGAAGTCCAAGCAACTTCTACAACTAGCAATAAAGTATATAGCATATAGTAATATAATATAATCTACCTTATTTAATTGAATGAACTATTTCGTTCTCTGATAAGTCCCACAATGTACTGTTATTCCAACTCGACTCGTTTTTTGTTTGACATCGGAATTGCTAATTGGAGTGTTATGATATATTAGGTAATATTTTTTTTATTCTTAGAAAAAAAACAAAAACTAATAGCATCTCTATTAATAATTGGTAATTTTTTCAATAACATTTTGAAAGTATAAACCTACATAATCTAATCAAGATATATTTCACCATTCAGCTATTTACTTCATGTGGAATCAATATTATGCTCTTAGCCATCTCTGGGTTAGCTTTGTGCGATGTAAAAGGCAAGTTATAGACACATCAATGTTTCAAGTACAGTGATTGGGTATATGAACAGTTTTTACTAAAAGTTTATTGATCATACAGTTTGATTTGTTATCCATTTGACACTTATATATGGATATTGTATTGGGTTAGCCACATTGCAATCCAATAGTTACTTAAACTTGTACACCGTAGATCGTTTCGCTTAATTTTTTTAATCCATTAGCTAGGCTTGCTGTGTATATGGTTATAACAAGATTAGCAACTCGAGTGTTGCCTTGGACTATTGCATCCCTTAGTTGCTGTGATTGCTGCCGGCAAATATAGTGAACTTGATGGTATAATGCAAATAGTTCTGTTTGGAGGCATTGTGTATACTAATATATTACACGTGTCTCATTGGTTAATGCGTGTAATGCATGGTACAAAAAGATAGTCCCTACTGCAGATTTAATGTCCTTTACTTTTTATAATTCCGTTGAATATCTATCTTATGCTAGTCTTGCACCAACTGTACAGTCCAATGTTCCAACTTTTATAAACACGATTCTTTCACTACAGCATTGTCACAATGTAATAACAATTTTCTATTCGCATCGTTGGATTTTAATCTCATTTGGTTAGTGTTGATAATACTATGAATCTTTGTCCTTTCGCAAGATTCACTAAATGTTTGATTCCTGTGTCTTTGTGACTCCGTCGACAGATATCGCCAAGATGAAAACATCTTTCGGATGTGGCGTCTGTAGCTCTCATGGATACAGATACATAACCAAGGGTTGATAGCGCTATTAGACACAAACAACATGTGCGCTACAAAAGCGTACCCCCAAGCACTACATACTAAGTTTCCATCCCATGCATAGTACATTAGCAGTGCCAATACAGTAATAGGGATCAAGCAACATAGGAACATGATCACCATAGCGACGACTTTAATCAACACGCGGATGTCTTCCTTACGACGCTGTTTGCGCACCTCAGATGTCTGGGATGAAAAACTCTTTTTACTGTTCAAAGATATGACTAGCCATGAATATAGTACAGTCATCAAGATGACGGGAATGCAAATTACCATGATGAAAATAACGCCGAAGAATGTTTTCTTTGATGTCTTGTTATCTAATGGCGACCAGTCAAGCATACAGAAGTTGGCTCCATTTCTTTCTTGCAGTCTGTGAGCGTACAAATTTGGAGAATGAAATAGAAAACTGTACAACCAAATGAATGCGATGATGTATTTTCTACGAGAGCGGGTGAATAGGGACGGGCGAAGAGAATAAACTATTGCCCAGAAACGGTCCACAGCGATGACAGCATGGCTTATGATTGAAATACTCACAGAAAAGTCTGTAAAGAAAAAACAGAGTTTGCATAAAAAGCTTCCAAAAATCCCATCAATTAGCCAAAGACGAGGCCCTATGTACAGTTCTATAAGAATTCTAGGACTGACAACTGCAGCGATGAAGATATCCGATGCTGCCATGTTGGCAATGAAGATGTTGGTTGTTCGTCGCATGTTTTTCTTCTTGTAAACGATAATAATTATAAATAAGTTCCCAAGAAGCGCAGCCACCATGATTAGAGAGTATAAGACTGTCTTGATGACCTTGAGTGTGGTAGAATCAGTCTCACTTGCTGCACATTGCAGCTGTGCCGCGAAAGAAGTGTTGTTTAGCGCTGAGTCCATCATTGTTTGTCTGGTCGATTATTCCGGCCCTTTCGCTTTCTCTTTTCGATGACTTAAACGACAGAGATGATTCAGTAAAGATATAGAGCCTTATGATAAACCAACAACTATTTCAGACAAGAATATGCTTGAATATGTTTAAATTTTTTGAATATGTTTGTATATACAGGATATATTATGGCCGCTTGCATGGAGATTCGGATTTTATCTCCTCGTAGGTTCAGAATGTCTAATTTGTTTTGCAGGGCTCACTCGTAAGATAAAATCTCATTACTCAAAGCATATAAGATCCGTATCTCCTCACGGTAATATCCTCAACTCCAACTCGGAAAAGGCGAGGTGTTAAACTGATCTTAGATACAATTCATGTTTAAGAATCATATTTAGATCAGTTAAAATGACTAAAAAAATATTTTATTACTGTTAAAAATGTCTAAAACTCTCACGTACTTGCTTAGTCCTTTGTTCTCTTTCTTCAGTTTTTTTCATCAACTTCATAGACTGTCAAAATAACGTCTCTTCGTCTAAAGCTTACTTGTCATCCTATAAAAGAAAGAAAATAAGACCCTGACAAGTTATAATACCTTTTATATATCGTTAGATAAATTTTTATTTATCATATATTGGATTTTTTTTTTTTCTTATTTCCTTTATTAACTTCCCATTGTAAATAGATATTTATCATTTCATATTTTATATTTATTGCATATATACATATATATATTATATTTTATATCACTTTAATTTAGGTTATTTCTTAATAGATTAGTGCACGTGCGCATTTTAAACGAGTATGTGAAATGCTCCTAGGCGTTATGTGGATAAATAAACTATTATTATTATTATTATTATTATCAATATTGAGAGCCTATACTGACTGATTTCTTGTTATATTGGGTGATTCAATCAAGTGGCTCACTTATTTGGCGAGGATTTTTCCTCTTTATTTATGATAATGATGATATCTGTTTAAATAGCTAGCGCTCTTTCCATATGGAGATGTTCAAAGGCGCTTCACAATGAGTTGTGAACGAGAGGTTTCTAGTATGAGGTGTATATAGGCACTAAGGGTGGATTTCCTTACGTCCTCAGTGGTTCTTTTACGTCCCTCCGATATTGGTTAGTAGATCTAAAACATGAAAAACAACAAGTAAATCCGATACCTAAAAACAACAACAAAACAACAGCAACAACAAAAAAAGAAAAAAAAAAAAAAAAAAAAAAAAAAAAACATTTGCCTTTCTTTCTCAATTTGGTCATATAGTTTCATTAAATAGCCTCTAGTGTTAACAAGATAACGAACTGAAGCCATTTATATTATCATGTTAAGAGCAATAGTAGTTTCAAAAATAGCATTGCTTTAGGTACAGTTTATGACATGTTTGATATACTGATTTGGCTCTCATAAATTGCAGTTGAAGCCGATGTATTGAAAAACAGCAGGAAAACCTTCAGCATCTAATCTCTATCTGTTTTGGGAAACTTCCTCAAAAACAATTTAGACAATATGGCACTTTTCACACTGCTTCCATCACCAAGAGAACTCGTTAACTAACTAGAATCAACACAAATGAACTATCAACAGATAGAAAGTTAGTGAGACTAAAAATATATATACAGAATGGAATGGAATGGAAATAAATGGGATAAAATAGGATGGGATGGAATGGAAGTAAATGGAAGTAAATGGAAGTACATGGAAGTAAATGGAAGTAAATGGAATGGAATGGAATTCCATAGGATAGAACGGAATCAAATCTAATTGAATGGAACGGAAAGGAATAATATAATAATAGCCTAGATTGAATAAGAATAGAATAGGATACTCCAGAATAGTAATCAAAATAGGTTGCTTGTCTCAAAACTAAATCACTCTCCACCTTTCCTACTATTTTCATGGTTCGATGCCTTTGTTAGATACACTAGTAACTCCCAGCTTGTTGATCTGCTCACATTAGCTATTTACTCCAGACTCAAATCGAAATTTGTTCTTTCTGGTGCTTTCCTTCAGATATTATTTTTTTATATAATTTTATATATAATTTTTATAAAATTTTTAATAATATTTAATTTTTTATATAGTATTTTTTTAAATATACTACCTCGGGAATCATTCAAAATCTAGACATAATTTATGGATCATTTTATTATGGGCGTAATGTTTTCATATTTATATTGTTGTGCCACCTCTTACATAAACAAAGAGTTCATTGCCAACAAAAGTGTTACTTAAACACTCGCCTAACCGTATATGTAGTTCCTGACTGTAAGTGGAAATACATTTTGGAGTCGAGGAGGTAGATGTTCTTTTCAAAGTCCTAAAATTCTCACAGGAAGTGCTGCAGTAGGAAGAAAGAAAGTAGCTTTTAAACAAATAAGGCACACATATTCGTCAGATCCCGCTAAATTGTTACCAGGATATGAACACATACATTTTTTTCAGATAAACGAATCAAAATTTTTTTAATCGATTGTCTAAGATAACCACTGGACTGATGTAGGCGACAAACTCATATCGAATTTGAATTTAGCGTGTTCGGTTTGAGAGCGAGGAGAATCGGAAAACTCGGTGACTGAAAACCCCTTGCATCATGAGAGGCCTAAACTCCGCTATTAATTGTTATCTCTATTTTAACCTCAAATATTGCCTCAAGAAATACAGGAACCTTGTTTGGGCCGCCTGTGGGCCAGATAACGGCTCGTATTTTGATAAATCTATCTTAAATCTTATACATTGGTTTAAAAGCATAAACAGGAACCTTTTTGGGCTGCCTGTGGCAAATCCTGCATGCTAGAGTCGTTATCGGTCTTACTTCCTCTGTATAGTAGACATTTCACTGACAATTTCCAGCTAAAAGGGGCGAAAAAATCTGATATTTTTGATTTATTAACGAAGTAGGAAAAAAGCAGACTGATTTAATTTTCCTTAAAAAAGTAGTTAATAAACATAACTGATTATTGGTGAATTGAAAACGAGTATTGGTCATTTGACTATGACGCGACATCTATTGATTGTGTCTGATTCATCGGCCTTTGTTAGAAGTTTTAAGCCTTTCCCTTGCATATAGAAAATGTGTTCAAACCATGAAGCCAGAATCAAAATTAGATTAACGTAAAGAAGACAACATGGGTAAACGGAAATTAATAAAAGAAAAAATAGAAACCAAAAATCGTCTGCGGCTGAAATGTTCACCAACTGCTTTATGACGTTTAAGTAGTTTGTAGTTTTTCCCCGTCCATTTTTACCCACCATGAAGGCTTTCTCACTTGAGTCAATCCTTCAGGATCATTCAGCTTGTCCGTTAACGCTTCTCTAGATAGAGTCTATAGATTAATCTCTTAACTCCTCCTTGCCTTGGTCTCAGCTGTCTAGTAATCTAGCGGGTTTATTGAAAAACTGTCTGAGGTTATATTAAAAAAAATACTCATAGATATCCGGCCAGGTAGAACCAAAACATCATTTGATATCTCGTAATCAGTGGCTAGTTTAGTCTAGCACTAAAATCGGCATTACTCATAGTTGAATGAATGATATCTATATATGTTTACCGAAAGTGACTTCTCAAGCCAAACTACAATCGAATAAAAACTCTACTAATAATAAATAGAGCTGACAGAAGTGTGCATGGCTGTGTCAGGTATGACAATTGGAAAGTAAATAGCGACACTAATGGATCTTTATCCCTGCACAATACAAGGAGTGAGAGATACGAAAAGTAAAGAAGATTCGGGATCGATTGAGTGAATTAAATTAGAGGTACCTTTGTGAATTAAGATCATTCGGTACCAGTAGGTCTTAGCGTACTGACCATTTCCTGTAGCCGCTCCAATCTGAGCCATATCAAGATTGGCACCAAAATGCTCATTTTCACAATCTGTTAATGTTTTAGACCGCCAAAGAAAACATCTGTTTTTAAGATACCTTTTATTGGGAGTCAACTAAAATAGATTGGACAAAACCTTATCATCCAAATTGAAAAACATTGTATCTAAATGATACAACTCGTTCAATACGTTTTTAGATAAAAGTGTTTGCATTGATTTATTTATTAATAACACCGTTTTTTGAATTTCAAAGCTATTGCATATTGAAGAGAAAACGTATCGGTTGCTTTTGGTCATTGGTTTCTCAGTTGGAGGTCTTGCAGGAAACGTTAAACAGTTTTTATAGCTGAAGTTTTAATGGCTGATTGTCAATAATTTGCCTATATATTAATGATGCATATGTTCAAAAACAACAGAACATATTCAGTCGTAATGTTCGATCATTAACATATTGAACTGTATCAAATGAAAAAGGCAGCTATTGTTGCCAGCCTCGCTTGTATGTGTGACGACTAACACTACGATCTCGAAACCCGAGCCTACGTTCCTCTTGTGGTCAGCACTGACTCAGGAACGAAAAGTTCTGGCTGTAACTGATTTTTTGAACATTCTGATTGGTTTGTAAAAGAAAAAACAAAAGAAATAGCCCTCCCGAAAATAAAAAGACAAATAAAAAAAATAAATGATGACCATTCATGGGTTTGAAGGTGAATTGGAATCGCTATTAAGATCACAGGGAACCCAAACAACGGCTAGCCTTGCTATAGACATGCGCAGTCGAAACTTCTGGTCCAAGATGGCCGAACCGAAAGTTAACTTAAAATCGGTTGCAGCAAGAGCCTCTTGTTTCTCGGTGCTGACCAAAAGGAATGTGGGCTCTGGGTTCGAGATTGTTAATTTTAAAGACTATAGAAGTTTAGGCTGCAGGTTGAAGTCGACAATAATGATGGCAATCTAAATGATAATGATTGTTATGAAGACATCATACTATCCTAATTTATTGGTTTTATATTCTCCACTTTTGAGGGTTTCTTTCTTTATTATAATGATGGAACGAGAACGAAAACTTTAAGGGTTGTAAAAAACTCAGTGTGCATCAAAGGTGGGTCTTGATTCCTTGGCGTTAGAGAGCTTGTTAGGTCTCTTCCTTGATTCGAGGGTTTTTTCTCCAGTATTTCACTCCCTCTGCAAAACCTAAATACCAATTCGATTTGTGAGTAAGAGTCGGGCTGTGTTCGATCAAATTTGGAATTTAAGCCGTTTGAAATTTTTTTTTTAATTGGCCAGTTTCTTATACTACGAAATCAAATCAGTCATTTTGGTACGACTGGAATCGTCGTCGCGACCAAGTAAGTTTTGTTGGACTTCAATGAAGGTGTGACACTGCATAAGCACCGTGGTCTTATGAAGTGTTTTCCGACCATGTCATCGAATCAGGCTCATTGAATGACGTCTATCAAAACCCTCGACAGCAAGGCGTACGATTCCGCACGTGTTATTGATATAGTTATTTTTTCGTTATTTGAACTTTAAAATAATGGTTTCTTGAAGCCGGATTTGACTGAATATCACGTAGGTTTTGATGCGCAAAGGCATCTCATTCTTCCTAAAAAATTCATAGCAGAACTAATATTCTTAATATCCTCAATATTAGTAGATTAAGAGGAATTTTTTTTCAATATCGAGCAATAATGGCAAAAAGCGCCAAAAACTAGACTGTCGTATCAATTTTGATCCCAATTTTCGCTTTGGGTTAACACTCAAAAATGACCTTTTTAAACAGTTAGAAACTGATGTATTATAATAAAATGCCTGTTTGAAGCGGTATTTTCAATTGTACAAAGATGTTTTGCTGCATTTTTGTTAGGATGTAGCTTTGTCTTGCTTTTTTATAGAAAATGTAAAGCAAATGAAGGGTCAAACCTCATTTTCGAATAACATTTTTGCTTTGGGTTAACACTTTGATTCCACTTTCATCGGTCATCTCCACTTCCAAACAAGTTAAACTTTCTGAATAACAAGATTTTAGCCTTGTACAACAGCCTTTCTTCAAGAAAATAGTTTTTGGCGCTCACTGCTTGAATACAAAAAGAATTMTCWYTTAATAGTAATAACTGAACCACGCCATCGCATAAGGATATGATCAAGAGCCAGGAAAAATATGTTATATTTCAAATTTCTAGTCTCTGTCTTGAAACTTAAAACGATTCGACTCGTGACCACGAATCTACAGTCTTTAGTGTACAGTTGTTGTTGTTGGATCACGAAAATGATTTTTAAAACTTGTTCAATTCTTGGTTTTCA